TTGTCATTCATTAAATATTATTTTATTTAAATATTAATTTCTAATCTTTTTAATTTTGTTTTAATTTTTTTGGTCATTTAAAGTAAATCATAAATTAAATTTATACAACGTAAAAAAAATGTAGCAAAAATATTACTTAGATTTTAATTCTGTTTTAAATTACCCTAGTTAGATATTAATTTTAAAATATCTAAAGTATAACTATTTCTCTCAGTGACTTTTAATTTAATCATTTACTTATAATTAATGCGATACAGGGAGTACTGCTTTTAATACTAGACGCAAAATTGCAAATCATGGCTAGTTCAACCCACACAAAAAAGAAATGCAGATAAAATATTTCCTTAAAAATCATTAAAAAAGTCAAAAATCGTTTTTACCCAATGCTTTATTATAAATTAAGAAGTGATGTATTCATGAAATTGTTTTACAGATTTATGACATGGTCTTTACACTACTAGAGCATCTTCAGTTATGAACACATTTAAGTAGACAGGGCACCACTACTTAAACCAGCATCCCCACCACTTGCATTTGGGTGCGAGTGGGGTGCAGCAATGCCAGATGAATCCTAGTTGATGGCAGCACTCCCCTGCGCCTATAAAATAACAAAAAAAAATTCTTCATTTAACAAAATTAAATTTTACAAATACCAATATATCAAATAGAAATGCCACGCTTAAGAAACACAATTGTTATTACTCCAAATAATATGAAAAAGGACATTTGTTTCAATAAATGTTGATGGTATTTCAATAGGCAGAATTACAAGTAAAACTTAATTGCACATAAGTAAAGAGCCGATATTTATTTTGCAATTATTAGATTACTACTATTAGATAATTATTTTGCACATGAATAAAGGGCATTTTTTGTTTGTTTTTGTTTTTGCAGTTATTAAATACACTCAAGAGCCAAAACATTATGACCACCCCTACATTTTGCAATGAACTCGCCTGGATGACGTGGAAGGCACGTGATCAGGTGGAAGTGGTATTTAACTGGTATTAAGTGGTGGTATTAATCCATGCCAATACGGGTTCAAAGCTGTGTTGCGCACCAAAGGTGGGCCAACTCGTTATTGACAGGTGGTCATAATGTTTTGTATCTTGAGTGTATATTTATGAAACTAATTCAAGACTACCTTAAATTAAAATTAACTCATAAAATTTAGAAAAAAAATATATGTTTTTAGTATGTAGAAATTCGAACTTAATGAAGCTATGAACAGAAAAATAATGGAAAAGCATTAATTTTAATAATATTATTGCAGATATATATATATATAATTAATGGGTACTATTTCTTACAATCACACTTAAGGCGTACCTAAGAAAATGTTGTTGGGAGCATTAGCAGTAGTCTTTGGACAGCAGTCCCACTTTCCATCTTCCTTCTTGCAGCAGTCGGCGGTTGCCGGACACAGGTGCAGTTTGTCCGGGCAGATCTCGACGCCCATCTCCTTGAGGCTCTGGCCCATCATCGTGTTCTCTGGCTGGGTCAAATCGGGCATGTCTTTCAAGGCCGACATCAACTCATCTAAAATCCAGATAAAACACATTCAAATATAGTGAAAAATGAACAGTTTTCTAGTGATCGTTCCATATGCTGTTGTATTCCATTGGGGTAATGTTTTTGAAGGTAAATATTATAAATCTTAGGATTGTTGTTTTCATTCGATAGACATTTTGGTTTTACACCATGTTTTTCAGAAACGAAACACCAACAGATGCAAATGTCTAGTTTGTTACATATTAAAGAAAAGACTGTATTAATATTTTTTTTCACATATAAACTTTGGAAAGAACTGCCCCAGACATGCCAACTTATGGATGCACATCATATTCTCGTTCATTTTGATTTAATGTAAAATTATTCCGATGACTTAATGCGTAATTATTTTTAAGACTTTTCTGTTAAAATGCGCTTCTTGATTTTTGAACCGAATTTTCAAAAATTCAAAGTTCCTTGCGTGCTTATCCATTGAACCATTCTTGACTAAAATGTTAGTTATTTAAAAATGATATTTACTTGATCAACACAAACTGAAAACCTAATATTTACTTTAACTAAAAACCTAATATTTTTTATCATACAGGAAATTTCATTTTTATATTTTCGTCACAGGGATTTGATAATCTTTAAAATACAATCAAATTGATAAGTGATTTATTATATAATTATATATTAATGTCCCAATATTCATGAATATGTGAAAATAAATTATCTATGTCCATTTTTTTGTGGATGTTTTAACATTATTTTTTACCAAAGCATTCAAATGTTATAAAAATAAAATGTTCATATTCAAATGTTATAAAAATGAATAAAATATCTAACCACAGAAATTTTGAAAAAAAATGAAATATAAATTAAAATAAAATAAATAAATTTTAATTTAAAACAAAACTCATAAAATAAAAATAATTTAAAATAAAAATAAAATAGATTTTAATTTTAAATTTTGACAGCAATTTGGCAATTAAATATACATAATCACATATTAAGAACATGAATTATTATTAAAAAAAGCATAAATGGCTTTTTTCCTAAGTTTATGTATATTTTTTATGTTAACAACTAATATCCATATTTATTTTTAAGCTTCGTAGTTTACTTTCCTACCTAATGAATTTTCTCTAATTCTACGAATTTAAGAAGCTGTATATTAGAGATATTTTAATTAAGATAAAAAAAGTTTTTAATATGAATATAGGCATTTGAATTTGAAGGAAAACAATACATAAGAGTAGGATCTGAAAAACTTTTTAAAAATTATAATTTAATAGAAAATTATTAAGAGCCATAACTTTTTATATTACCGCAGAAAGATATGACTCCTAAATTACTGCTCAAATAATAAAATATTTTCAGTATACTTACTTGGAATTCTTACACTGATAAAGACAGTTATCAAATAATATCTTTAAATATATTAAAGGATCAAGCTAAATATATTTTTATTTTCTGTTGTTATAAAATATCCATAAGAAATCTCTAATTTGATAATAATCATATGAGCAGATTTAGAGAGCTGAATCAAATAGCATCATATCAACATGAATTAAATGCACTAATGTTTATATTGACGTTCATAAAATTTCATTTGCAGGTAACAGTAAAAATTTGTATAAATATTATTTAATTCAAAATTGTCAGATATTTATCAGACAGAACATGGATTGGTTTTTATTCGAAAGAATATTTTTAATTTAGTTTCATAATTTCTTGGTAAAAAAAAAATCAAAATTCTTATGAGAAAAATCTAGTTATTACTGATTTAAAAATAGTGTTTTTCTTTATTAGATATCAAATAATAATGTTAATGCCAATAAGACTTACTTGGTAACGCTGATGTGACGCCTAACACCAACAATGCTACAGCGAGTGTTAATCTATATAAAACAATAAATAATATAATTAATTGCCTAAAATTAAAAGAAAAAAATTATCTCCACGTTAAAGCCTTTAACCATTTATGTTACAATTTTTTATTATAAGAGTCTTATAAAAGTTATTTTTGATGTTTATACTAACTAATTAATACATAAATGTTTTAAAGAATTAAAAACAAAAGCATGTTTAAGTAATTTTAAAGGTTTTACCACTTACCCAAAGGAATTCATTTTTGGTTATAGTTTTCTCACAGTCCTTGAGTATCAATATAGTACAGTTAGTCACAGTATTCTTCTCACTATGATGAATTTAATCATTGCATTTAGCTTTATATACCTTTTTTGGTTTCTCTTTAAAAAATATCGATACTCTGATAAAGCAGATTCTTGAAAAAAAAATCACTGACAATAGTGTATTAAAGAATTATATTGAAAGTGATACTATTTTAAGATCAAGTGCATTGAAGAATTAAAATGAATATGAGAGCAAATACATTAAACATAATTATTGTACATAAAACATATATATTGAAAGTTCTCCTGAAATATTTAGATCATTGTCAGCAGGATACAAATTTCTTCAGCGTACTTTAAATTTCAAGTGGATCAATATTATCTAAAGCTTTGTTGTTATTCTATCTTACTCGTATATTCACTTTAGATTTTCTTCATTTTATAATAAAAACACATCTGTTTTCATGTTACACGTTTTGAACTAATCCTATTTTTATTATTTATTATTAAATTTTTAATATGTTATTTAAATGGAAGTGGTAATCAGAAAATGCGTTTTGATTTAAGGTTTTACATAATGTAAACTAAGTAAAATTGCAAACAAAGATGTATTCTGTACAAATGCCCTTAATTTCATGTTAGGCTTTAAATTTTAAGCTCCGACTCTTTTTATTCTAGAAGGAACTCTGGAGTAACTTTGTGTTTTCAATTTCACTTGTAGAATTTCTAAAACCAAATCATTTTTATATTGATAATTTAATTTTAAAAACTCTACAAGACATAATAATAAGTTAATTAAGTCAATTAGTTAGTCAATAGCGATTAATAAATAATTTTCTTTTTTTATTAAATAATTTTTTTAATACTTTCTCAAATTAAAGCCATTTCTGTCTTGAAAAGAAATAATCCAAATAGTAAAAATTATTTTGAAATTTTTAAAAAAGAAGGGTAATGTAGCAAACAGTTAACATTAATTTCGCAACTAAAAATTGAGTTTAACACCTTCCCTTTTTAATTTAGTAGAAATGAGAATCGTTTACTAAACAACCAATTTCAGTTCTTTATTTATGTTAACAGATGTTTGTTGTTGTTGTTTCTTATCCCACTTGGCTGGCCAAGCGCACGAGCCCATATGGACTCACGATTGAAGGGGAAGGAAGCAGCTTCTGTTGCGATGGAGCATCCGTTGATAGAAGCCTGACTTTTGCTCCGTGACGCTCTTACAGTCATAGAAGACCGGGACCTACGGCTTAAAGTGGATTCCGAACCACTACAAACATACATGGCACCGCCGGGATTCGAACCCGAAACCTGTGGCACCGAGCGCCAGAGCGCTAGACACTCGGCCATTCAGGTCCCAAATTTGCCAATGGCACGCGGTGTTCCCAGGTGGTCACCCTCCAAGTACTGACCGCGCCCAATGATGCTTAACTTCGGTGATCTAACGAGAACCGGTATATTCAGCATGGTACGGCCGTTGGCATATGTTAACAGATGTAAGGACATAAAGAAAAGAAAGTTAGGATTTTTTTCCTTTAGTCTCATGCTAAAGATTTAATCAATGTAATTATTGAATTACTTTTGTTTACATCTTTCTAGGTTTCCAAATTCAGAAGACGAATAGCCACAGATACGTTTGACCCTGTAGGTATATTTCTCTAAGTTCAAGCTTCTATGGCACGTGCTAGGTAATGAAATATTTCAAATGTATTTTTATCCATAATTCAAAACTATTTAGGAGCAGATTAATTGATTTAAATTGAGTTGCTTAAATTGTTTTTTATTCTACTTCGATGGTACTGAATATAGGGGACTGATGGCCGAATGGCTAGCGTTCTGGCATTCGGTACCACAGGTATCGGGTTCAAATCCCGGCTTTGCCCATGGGTGTTGTAGTGGGTTCGGAATCCACTTTAAGCCGTAGGTCCCGGTCCTAATAGAATTGTAGAGCGCTACGGGGGCATTGTTACTCCGCGTCCGTGACTTACCATTAAGTTACACGCGCCTCCTGGGTAGTGCAAAGTGAGTAACACCGGTGCAGCTCTTATGGCGGAAGATCACGGTCTATTTGCCTGCTGCATTAGAAGAAAAAAAAATGTTACTGAATATTTTTGATACATCCATTTTACGAATTTCCTCTGAAATTTTTTTTTCCTTGTAAATTTGACTAAACAATGTTTATGTTAATATTGAGTTAGTTGGATTATATTAAATGTGACAGCATATTGTACGATGAAATAATTGGGTCCTGCATCACAGTATTCCATTAAGAGAAATTAGTCTTTAAAAATAATATACAAATAAACAAAATTGTACAGAAATAAATTATTGTAACAATAAAGTAAGTTACGAGTTAATGTTCCATCCATTATATGAACTATATGGAAAATTTCCTTATTAACAAGTTTAGTTGTTTTTTAACTTGCAGTGTGGTGTAGAAAATAATCGAATCAAGGATTGTAAGTATCAGTATTGATATACCGGAAGATATTTTGAGCAATTACAATCAACGAAAAAAAAAACGGTTACAACAAGTACAAGTTATTCGATTGGTAAAACAATTAGAATATGGGATGCAGATGCATATCAAAATTAAACACTGGAATATAAGAGAGGTTGAATACTTTCTTCCGAAGGAATAGCTGTATATAGCTACTATATCGATAAAGGATAGGCCTCTATCTTACTTTTAAGCAAGTTGTTATTCAACAAGGCATTTAATTATAAATTTGACGGAGATCTCTTTGTAGGAATTCTTCCCAAACTATAGCATTTGAAGAACTATTTGTAGAGATATTATGCTCATTCAATCCTATTGAAATTGCCGACACTATACATCAGTTTTAAAAACAACTGTCGTAAATTTGAAATTATATAGAAATAATTTATTTGAAAATTTCGTATAATGTACAAATATTATCATTAATTAATTTATTTAGATTCGGATAAACCCAGTAAATTATTCAAAATTAGACTCTAAATATACATAAAAAATTAAAAGATTGTGTGCCATATTTTTATAATATTAATTATTAGATCTAATAACACTTTTAGGTCTATTTGCATATGAAAAATAAAATTTTCTTAATCATGCAGGCTTTTGATTTGACCACGTCCTTTAGCTCAATTGACCCTGATTCCTTTAGCCCAATTGAATGAAAAATTAAAAGATACTACAAAATTACTGAAATCGTATCGTATGATACGTTACATACATATTACAATGGGAACCTATTTTAGGGAATTACTGGAACAGTCAAAGTGAGTAGACAAAATCAAATTCGAACGGAATTTATTGCTCAAAAATGGAATTTCTCAAACTTTTCCACATTTATTATATTCAGTTGTATTGTGCAGTAACTATATGAATTCCTAAATTAAGAAGATTTGATCACTCTCATTAGAATGAGTTTATCAAAGGAAACTTTCTTTACAAGTTAACTATTACTTTTAGTTTTTTTTAGTTTCAAATGCAACTGAAACCATTTCAATTTTAAAATCTCGTGATTATCCTTATGAACGTTTAAAGCAATAATTTTTTCAATAATTCTTTTCTAATATAACAAATATAATATAACAAATGTTTATAAAATAAAGTTTTAATTAATTATTTTATTAAATAAATATTAATTAACTAATTTATTGAATAAGTTTTTTAAGTAACTAATGTTTTTTTTAAGTTAATAACATCGTAACAAATATGCCATGAATCTGTTATTAAGTCTTGTTTTGAAAAAAAAAATGTGTTCATAAAAACAGGAACACACATTTTTTTGAAAAAAAATTTGATTGTTTGTAAAAAATAATATCTTAGTGTTATACCTGAAATTTGCATGTTGCTGATTAAATGTATTATGGCTGTTATGACAAATTGCTTAGCTATAAAGAAAACCAGCATGACCAAAATATTTTTTCTTGTAATAGGAATCACATAGATATAAAATTTCCAGAACTAATCGATGTGTTCATGTGCAGAAAATGACTAAGGCAATGAACTTCAAATTTCCCAAAACTATAATCTCTAGAATAAATTGCTAAATAAACTAATTTATATGAAATTATAATGTCAGTGAAAAAAAAAAACAATTTTTTTTAAAGTATTTATGAATCACTGCCATTCATTAAATATTATTTTATTGAACTATTAATTTCTATATATTTTTTAAATACCTTTATTTTACGATCAATTAAAGGAACTGCACAAATTTAATTTAAGTAATGTAAAAAATATCTAGCAAAAATTTTACTTTTTAAAAAATTCTGTATTGTCTTCTTAATTAGATATTAAATTTAAAATATCAAATGTGTAACTGCACCTCTCACTTTTAACTTAATCACTTACTGTTAATTAATTCAACTCCGAGAACACTATTTTTAATTTCAGATGTAAAATAGAAAATTATATGTAGTTCTACTCACACAGAAACAAAAGGCAAAAAAGTCATTTTCTTAAAAATCATTAAAAACGACCAAAAGCTTTATTTTTAAAACAATGTTTTATTATAAATTAATAAACTACTTATTCATGAAATATTTTTACAGAGTTATCACATGGGTATAACAATAACAGAACATCTACAAGTATGAACACATCAGAGTTTGTAAGACGTCTCTATTTAAACCAGCATCCCCACCACTTGCATTTGGGTGCGAGTGGGGTGCAACAATGCCAGATGAATCCCAACTGGTGGCAGCACTCTCCTGCGCCTAATAAAGAACAAAAAAAAATTCTTTATTTAACAACATTAAAACTTTGCAAATACCAGCATAGCAAGTAGAAATGCACGCTTAAAAATAACGATTAATATTATTCCAAAAAATATGAAATAAGACATATGTCTCAATAAAAGTTAATGGTATTTCAATATGCAGCATTAGCAATAAAACCATAAGTAAAGAGCAGATGTTTATTTTTGCAGTTTTTAATGTTATTTATGAAACCATCTCCGGACTACTTTAAATAAAACTTAACAATTACATTTTAGACATTATAGGGTGATATATGTTTTTAAGATTAAAGATGTAGAAATTCAAATTTAATAAAGCTATGAACAGATAAATAATAGAAAATCAATAATTTGAATAATGTTATTATTATTATGGATACTATTTTTTACAATCACAATAAAGGCGTACCTAAGAAAATGTTGTTGGGTGCATTAGCAGCAGTCTTTGGACAGCAGTCCCACTTTCCGTCTTCCTTCTGGCAGCAGTCGGCGGTTGCCGGACACAGGTGTAGTTTGTCCGGACAGATCTCGACGCCCATCTCTTTGAGGCTCTGGCCCATCATCGTGTTTTCGGGTTGCGTCAGATCCGGCATGTCCTTTAAGGCTGACATCAGCTGATCTAGAAATCGTCAAACATATTCAAAAACAGTTAAGCAACTGTTGTCTAGTATTTAGTGTATTGCTTTTATTCTATTGGGGTAATGTTTTTAAGAGGAAGTATTATAGATTTGTTTTTTCAATTGCTAGGCATTTTGATTTAATGCCATTTTCTTCTGAAACGAAACAACTACGCATGTAGTTGTCTAGGATATTATATTGGAAGAAAAATACCATATTAATTTTTTTCTCACATAAACTTGGGAACAAACAATTTTAGACATGCCAACTTATGGATGCACATCATATTCTCATTCCTTTTGATTTAATGTAAAATTATTCCGATGTATTGTTTTGGAATTTTCAAATAAGGTTTTTGTGAATACAAATGCGGATGCGATATTCCGAAGTATAGTTTTGATTTATTCAAATGCCCTTCTTGGTTTTTGAACCGAGTTTTTGAAAGTTCAAATTTCCTTTCGTGTTATCGGTTAAGTCATTCTTGATTAAAATGTTAGTTATTTTAATGTGATATTTACTCGATCAAAACAAATAATTAAAAACCTAATAATTTGCATCTTACAGAAAGCCAATTTTCTTCTGTTTTATATTTTCGTCGCAGAGATTTGATAAACATTAAAATAAGATTAAATAGATAAGAGATTCAAAGTATATATATTAAAGTACAGAGCTTGCCATAATATTGATGAACACTTTCGGAAATAAAACATTAAATAAAAGTATTACACTTTGTCACTTTTTTGTGGATGTCAAAATATTATTTCATACCAGGGCAATGTCATATTTCCAAATGTTATAAAAATGAATAAAAAAATCTAATGAAAGAAATTTTGAAGAAATGACAGTTTTAAATCATGTTAGCATAATGTTAGTTGGGTTCCCAAAATCAAATATTAGGAACATGGATTAGTTTTAAAAAACGCATAAATATTACAAAGTTCATGTATATTTCCATTTTTCATTTTAAGCTACGTACTTTACATTTCTTTCTAATTAATTTTCTGAGATTCTACGAATTTAAGATGATGTATATTAGAGATAATTCAATTAATATTAAAGATAATTCAAAGGGTTTTTGACAAGAATAAGAATAACATTTTATAATTGAATAATCTTTATAATTGAAAGGGAACA